GTATATATATATATATATATATATATATATATATATATATATATATATAATTAATGCCCTTGCCGTTCTCTCGAAAACCGTTTCAAAACCCGTCGTCTCCGATCCCTAGCAAACAAAACACCCTCTCTTTCTCTCATGGCGATCCGATTCCTGATGGCTGCCACGGCCAGCCCTCCCTTCGAACTCTCGAAGCCCTCGCTCTTCGCCGCATCCACGGTCTTCTCTCGGTTTCTGGGAGCGCGACAGAGGTCGGCGCCAATGATATGCGAATGTGCCAAGCTGGATCTCTCCAGCACCAAGTTCCCCTTCTTGGAGCCGCCGCCACCCGTCCGCACTCCCCATTGTGTGGAATCTTTAGCAGATGGTGATCTTTCATCCTTTCTTGGTCCTACTTTTTTTTATCTTTCTGGCATTCTTCTCTTCGGTCTTTAGCTTTCTCGAAGTGAAGTTGATGTCCAGTTTGCTGATTCGGCGATGATAATGTGGTTGTTGTGATTGACCATGTTACCACTTGTCCTGGTGTTGATCTGCTGATGTTTCGCAGATTAACAGGAACTCGAGAGCATCTCACCATCGTGACATTTGCCATCTTTGAAGTAGTAGACTATTAAAAGCTGATGGTTTCTTTGATTGGTTTTGTCTATCGGCTTTGTTGCTCCTCCAAACCTAGCAGATGGTGTTATCTAATTCTTTCTCTACGATCTTTAGCTTTGTTGAAGCGATGATAGAGTCCGTTTGTTGGTTTTGTAAGGACCTTTGTAAACTAACAGAAGTTAGGAGCAGTTATTTATCTTAGGATTAGCAATCTTTAACAAGTAAACAGTTAATGCTGATGGTTTGTCCACCAAGTTTGACTGAAATTAGTGAATAAGAAATCATCTATAATTTGAAATTTGCTATCATGTTTAAATCTCTCTCTCTCTCTCTCTCTCGTATGGCCACTTTGAGTGATTCTATCAAAAATGACAATTGATTTACCGTTTATCATGTTTCTGTCTTCACCGTGTGCATTAAAATAAAATGTACTATGTTGATCAAAGGATTTTTGAACACTGACTAAAAGCTGTCTGATGTACACACACATATGCCAAAGTTGTTGTCCTATTCTACAAAAGTGATTCTGTCGAAAATGACAATTGATTTACTATTTGTCATGTTTCTGTGCACTAAAATAAAAATGTACTTTGTTGACCAAAGGATTTGTGAACACTGACTAAAAGCTGTCTGATATACACACACACACATATGCCGAAGTTCTTGTCCTATTCTACGTTTTGTACTTGGAGTTAAATTGAGGCATGACAAAAAACAGTGCGAAGGTATTTTAGTTTGACTGACTTTTGAAAAGTATTGAAAATCAAACTTAAGTTTTAATTAGGAGGGTTAGCTAAATGGAATATAGTTAATCATTTATGTGTTTGTTATTTATATAGATAAGGTGTGTCGGTGACTTATTTATGGAATTTCTTAGGAATTCTTGAAACCTAATTGGAGGAAATCCTGTGTCCTTCCTAGGTACTTTTTGAAACTTGTGGAATTGCTTAGGAGCTATTTATTTAATCCTGTAGTTTTTTCTACAATAACCTGTTATCTTTCAGTTACTTGGAAGTAAATCTGCACTGAAACTCTTCAGCACAAACCAATACATTAGATGTAGCACAAGGAAATGGTTGATGTTGTTTAATTTTTTCTTTTTCTGAATAGATCTTGATATGTTTACACATTCCCATGCTTTTTAAGATCCAGTACATTGTTTGTGTCCAACATATGATAAAATCTTTTACTTTTTTGTGCTCGGCATTAGTTGCACTGTTGTATGGTTACATCCTTCTAATCAGCTCCACCTAGTGCCTAAGTCATAATGGCCATTCGCTTGATTGCTGAAACGCCCTATTATCGATCGCTTTATTCCTGAAAAACAAAGAAAACAAAATGTCTACCACAATCTGCCATCAAGTGTGTTTTCTCAGTAAGTTTTTTTTCAAATACTTTAAATATGCAAAAAAAAATTCACTCTATGATTTAAAGGATCGTAAAGAACTTAATCATCATCTTAAAGTTGTCCCTTCCATGTTAGTCGTTATTGATTTGCTTCTTGATGATGTACTAGAACAGGCATGATATATGGGTGTGTGTGTGTAGAAGGATGAATTTAGTAGAGCTTGTTATACATTAAGAGTCCAATTATCACTTTGTTATGTGAAAAAAAGACAATATAATGCACAAATCCCACTAATTTCAGGATTTGGGGAGGACTAATATTTGTTGTCTTACCTTGCAAACAAAAAATATTATTTTTGGGACTCCAATAATGATCACTCAATATGGATCAATTTAATTCTCATTTTCCCCATGTTGTTCTTGTAATGTTTGCTCTCACACAGAATGATTTTTTTGCATTTGGTTCGAGAATGACAAATGCATGCGAGTTAAATCAGTGTTAGTTAATTTCTTAATAGCTGCGACTGATTGCACATGGCAATTCATGAAACAACATATTCTATTTGTCTTCTCTGGCCTTAGCATCCAGTGGTCTGTCAACAGTACTGATTGATCATCATGATAACCTCCTGACCTTGATTTGATTCTCTAGGTGGTCATGAGCGAGGGCATAGGAAAAGGATAGCAAATCACCATGGAAATTTCTACAATATTTTGTTGATCAGCGACGATCGCCATAATGAAGTGCTTGGTAATGAAGCACAGATGGTTCATAGCCTGTAACTTTCTTTTCCATTGGTAGATTGCATTAGTCCAAAATTCCCTCTGAGCATTATCTAGTTTGCAGTCACATATAATGAACGGTCGACATCTTGTGTGCAGTGGCGAAGGCCTTGCCAGAAATTTTTCCATCACTCACCACCAGCGATGCCAAAAAACTGTTCTGGAAGTCACAGGAGAACTGCTATGCAATCATCTTTGTCACGCATTCCAAAGTAATCCGTATCTCATACAAATTTCCAGATATAGTTTCTTATACGGATCGAAGTCTCAGATATTTACTAAATGATGAGTTTAGGGTGCAATTAGAAGTCGGTCGATTAACTTTCTGATGCACAGGAGCTTGCTGAGATCTACGTGCGGAGAATGATGTCATGGGGACTGCACGCGGCTATGGAGCCAGAACTTTTCATACGGGCCAAGTGAGTTGAAGGTACTGCAGTCATGCTAAATTTTGTTCCACAAGTTGAGGTTTCTGTTCTGGAATTTGTTTAGAACAGTCATGCATGAAGTTTCCACCAATTAAAAACAAAAACGAGAAAAAAAAAAACAGTGACATTCGAGCCAAATGTCCCAATTATAAACGGAGTGTAAAAGCAACAAAGGCATGAGCATCGATACCCATTACCCGTATCAGCACATCAGTTTTCTGCTTCATTAAATTTCTGTGGTAAACAATAAACTCACAGCAAAAGAAGCACCGACAAAAATAATGGGTACTGATCCTTCAATCTCTTATGGAAACAATCAACGGTCAGATAACTTGAGAATTAGCTGCTGCTGCTGCTATTGCTAAATTCTCACGTTTCAAAAATTAAAAGGAGCGGAATTGAATGCACAACGTGCTCAGGCAGGTGATAAAAAAGGACCTGCCATCTAATAATACCGACCCTGTACAACTTATAATTTTCTTGTAAGACAGTGAGCTTCACTGAGGGCATGGAACAAAAAGCAGCTGTTGAATCTTAACATAATGTTGCTTGACCGGAAAGAAATTGGTGAGAAAAACCCCACGCTTGACTCAGGTAGATTTTAGTGCCAGTTTCTTTTTGGTCATTTCCAATTCTTGCTGCTCCTTGAGGTATCCTTTTGCTGTAGCAGTCACTATTTTCACAAAGAAGCTCATGAGCATAAGCCATATGACAATATTCCATATCATAGTGACGGAAAGGTTCCACTGCTTTGCCTAAAGGATAAGAAAGATCAGATCAATATGGTACCATGATGAAAGTGCTTATTTGCATTGAAATAGAATAACAAGAAGACAAACAAGTGTGACGGCTGGGACAAAGTAACTCCTATCCTAAATCGGCTTACCCTTCCATCTGTGAGAGTTGGTTCTGGGACTGGAGTTGACAAATACTTCTGCTGAACCATGTGCAATTTGGCAATTAAATTGGGCAGCACAGAAGGGAGACCCGGGATGAGACCAAGCACCCATATCAACTCATTCTCCAACCATTCCAAGAGTTGATTATTGCACAAAGAAATAATAAAAAGTGTCTGCAAAAGCATATAAAAGCTTTGTACATCCAAACAATACAGTACAGGGCAATGCTAAAAAATTATCTACAAAATCAATTACGAATGCTGATTAAAAAAAGCATATAGCCTATAGTTATAAAAATTGTGCAACTCATGCTGCCATAAATTTAGGTGCGTAAGCTCTCCCATGACTTTAAGCTTTGAACAATTATGAGCTTGTTTGGATCACCTAGAATTTGCTTGGGATCAGGCCTGCTGGGGACAAAACACAAATAGCTAGGAAATAATTGATTGGATAAAACAGGGTTACTATGGGAAAAAAGACCTCTGGCCGCTTTTTCTGTATTTCTGGGTAACAAGTTAATGTAGGACTAGTTTCACAATAAGGTCGCTCCTCTACAATCCAAGTTATTGGGATTGAGTCTAAGAAATAACCTGTTTTTTGTGACAGGATAAAGCTGCATATATTGACCCACTTAAAATCCAGCATTGTGGAAGCCTTAGCCACCAGGCAGTGCCTTCGAGAATACCATGTTGAGTGTTCATCAAGGATTTTCAAAGTTACCTTCATCTTTGGTCACCTTCCATAGACATCGCTCCAACGCTACTCTGTTGATCTATCACTCCATCACTGCCATTCAACATCTTTGGAAAGATTGTAAGGCAGTGACGTAGGGGGCAGGCAAGGTGTCGGAGCACATCTGGATGAGTTTTCCTTCATTAGGTTATGCATTTTGTGACGCTTGATGTAACTCTTGTTGTTGGAGGAAGATGTTGTTGAGAAAGGGGAGGGAGGTGGTGATGAAAGGAGGTGGATGGAGAGTACACATTGGTAAGGGATTAGGAAGAAGAAGAGTTTGGCACATCAGATGTCAGAGCACATCTGAAGCAGGTGTCAGGCCCAACACCATCATTAGTGTTCATGGCATAGGAGGCGGCACTGATGACAGTGCTGCAACATTGGACCATGGAGCAGCATGCAATGGAGACGGCGTAGTAGGTGGCTGAGATGATCAGCAGCCGTAGAAGGGGAAAGATGGTTTGTATGGAGCAGAGCTCAAGCAGGCAATGAACAAAATGCTCAAGCAAGGATAAATGGAGTACGCCTCTTCTCCACTCTTGAGGCTGTGGCCAGCCAAGGTACATATCATCGTGCCTCTGAGACCACAGGTCATGTCTTAAAAAATTTCCCTTTTTTTAATTTAAATACATTATACATGGATTGGGTTAACATGTTCGATTAAATTTCTGCGAGACGCATTTGCATCCCATGGACTGATGATGAAATTCCATCGAAAATGTTCTCAATTGAAAGCTCCCTAAGTAATCAACCATACCCTAAAAATACATCATAATATATGGTGAATGAGAGAAAACTATTTCACTGTTCTTGATAAATATTAAACAGAAAGTTCATGAAACAAAGGATAAAAAGTGAATGAAGCATGAATGTCATCAAAGGAAGAAAATGTTCACATATTTTATATGAAGAGTGCAACTACACTCCACAAAATGCTTGACAATTCAAAATGATCAAGGGTCAACGACTTACCTGAATGTGAGTCTTTATCAATGCTTTTCCGATCAAGGTAGCCAGGAAGAATTTCCAAAATGGGATTCCAAATTGCCCACACATTATACCAGCAAGATCAAAAAGTGGGTTTGGTACCTGAGTTGCATTGAGCACCGATCATGAAATAGTGATGCAATATTCACATAATAATTATGTCTACAAATTGAGCAGCTTCATTTATAAATACTAAATTTAAAATTTGAACTAACAGAAGTAGCAGAAGAAAAGAAGAAAATTTATCCTTGATGGAAATAAAATGAGACCACAAGTTACATATTCAAGATCTAAAAGAAACAAAAATTCAAATTAGCATTGAGGAGAATATGCAACAGATGAAATATTATACTTATATTATATATGAAAAAGGAAGAAAGCTTACTGAAGCAAGCACTAATATTGTTAAAAAGTTAAGATACTGGGAGTGAGTGAGGAGCCAGCATTTAATTTGATTCACATAAGCAGACAGAAAACCATCTTCTTCTGATGAAGCTGCATTAAATTCCTCCATTTCCAATTTGTTTCCAGACAAGCTTGCTGCATTGCATTTTGTGTTATACAAACAAATATCAAACTGACTAGTCTAAAATTGGAAAGAAAAAAGAAATCAGTAGAAAAATACCCAAAAAAAATTGATGTCAAATAACTTCTAAATACTTAAATGACCATAAAACTAGATCATAGAATATAACAATAAAAATGAAGATTTTGTTTAATGTAAACTAGTAAACTAGAAAGAGAAAAGCAATGGTGTAATCATGGAAAGATGCAACAGATCAGATATTCAGCTACTAAATATCACCCATTCAGCCCCAATTTTGCTGGTTCAGGTCTGGACAACATACTTGCATTTTCCACTACTTCAAAGTCATGCTTAAGCTACTATCATATCAATCCATGACAACAGCACCTAATACGACATCAACACATAACGATATGATTTGTGATGAATAGTCTCTGATGGTTCATTAAATAATCATTTAATCCATGCATCTATTATAACTTTGTCTAAAACAAGATTTGCACTTTCGTGTACCGATATTGTATTGGTCAGGGCACAGACCAGTACCCTACAGGTCCTTACCAATGTACAGCATGTCAATATGCTAGTATGCACCCCCAGTTTCGGAAAAATGACTGAAAAAATCTGAAAAACCAAAAACAAGGCAAGTATAGGGCTTGTACCATACTGTACTAGGCGGCATAGGCCTTGTACCAAGCATACCAATCAGTACAAGTCCTGTACTGGATGTATTGTCTACCCTGGTCCTTGGACTGCTAAATGTCGTTAGTACCATGCCATATTAAATTACAAACCTTGGTCTAAAGACCATGCTATGAGGCCAATCTCACCACCAATGCCAAGAAAAAAGGAATTCATTGGAGAAAAAATTGTTGGCTGTCAGAAACAAGATAGAGTCTCACTTTCCTATCGCAAAGTGGCAAATTCATTTTTTTTGTATTCTTACAAGGGTAAAAAGATGAATCAACCCAGTGCACAAGGCTCCTGCCGATGCCAATGCAAGGTCTGGGAGGATCAATGACAAAAAGATACATGATACTTGACAATAATATATTTCAGTCTAGTGAAAACCAAAGTAGATGCTCAAAAGGATTCCCATTAGTCTTGTGTTAAAATCAATTCCAATAGTGTTACGCTGAGGGTGTTGGTGAAGCTAGCATGGAGACCATTCTGGCAGAGATCTTTTGGAGAAGATGTTCTCTGATAGCATGTGAACATGAAGATGAATTGAGGGATCTTTGTGATGGACTCTTATTGTTTTTAAGATTTTCACGGCTCTTTAAATTGAAGGTGATTCTTCAGACTAAAGAGATTATTTCTGTTGGAGACAAAGGTGGTTTCTGCAGAAATATCCTCAAGGATGTTCACCTTCTTCTCAAAGCATCCTCCTCTAAAGGTGCTTTATTTGGTCTTCATGAATCAGAACCATGCTGCAGATTGGTTTTAGCAGGCTGCCCTCTCTACTAGAGGAGGTGGGTTCTGGAAAACTGACTAACCTGAAGTATTAATGCAAAATGTATCTCTTCAAATATGTTGCATTTTGTTTTTAGAGATATTTCTCTTTAGTCTTATAGTCATTTGTATCAAACAACATAACAAAAAAGGACAAATATAACAACAATATGAATTAAGCCTTTGCACCTTTTTCTAAGGCATAGTGCATGGATCCTCACCCAAAATTTAGTTATTTAGAATTTATGCATCTAGCATAAAACATATATAACAAAAACAATAACAAAGCCATAAGTCCCAATTAATTGGGGTCGGTTACATGGATCTTTTAGTGCCATTAGAATATGTAAAAAGTCATATGTTTAGTTAAGTTTACAGTACTTCAATCCTTATTTATAATTTCTATTAAGGTCCTTTTAGGTCTTCCTTTACCTCTTCTTGTACCACAACCAACTAACACTAATCATTTTGCCTCTTTTGATTACCGTATCCGGAAGTCTTCTAAGCACATGCCTATACCATCTTAAACGATTTTCTCCCGTCTTATTCTCTATCAAAGCGATACTTAATTGTTCACGAATAAAAGTATTTCTTTTCCTATCCTTCCTAGTAACTTCATATATTCATCTCAGCATTCTCATCTCGGTAAAACAAACTTTTTGTATATGTTATTTCTTCACTATCTAACACTTCGATCCATAAAATATTGTTGATCTCATAACTGTCTTATAAATTTTTTCTTTTAATCTCAAAGGCATCCGATGATCACATAAGACTTCTGATGCCCCTTGCCATTTTAATCATCATGTTTTTATTCTACGAATAATATTTTCATCAATCTCTCCATCTTGTTGAATGGAAGTTAAAGAGAAAGCAAGTGTCTTAAAATAATGATAGAAAGACAGATATTAAAAGGACAACTAGCTGATAAGGACAATATATAAATGTTCAGAAGCCATGTTATAAGAGAACCTAAATTGTAGAAAAACTATATCCTCCTCTCAAAACCTTGTGAAATTAAATGTTAATTGCTTTAGCTTAATAATTACAACTAAAATTGCTGACAGAAAGTTTTTCAAGAACCCAAATTGAGGTTTATGTATTGAAAAATATCAAAAGATACCTGCTCTTGAAATGAAATAAGGAGGAAGCTCTCCAAGGGCAGTACCCAACCCCCAAAGAATGGCCTCTAGCTGAACCTGAGGTAGAATACTGCTGATGGGAACCCTGACTAGGGAACCAGGTAATGATTCATATAATGGTGGTCCAAACTCAGAACAGTCCTTTTCAAGCCATGAAGGTCGCTTTTTCAACTGTATAGTGTCATATAAAGCAGTTTTGAGATCAACTCGACCACAATTCATGGCCTTGATTGTAAAAAATGCAATATGGGGACCCAAATACAACACAAATGTGTGCAATCCAGACCCTGTCAAAAAGCAAGGAAAGTTGATGAGCATTTCATTATGAACTGGTTCCATACTTCATCAGCAGATAAACACAAAATTAGCCTAGGAATAATTTAATTACAGTAAAATAGTGCATCGATTTTGGTACATGCAGATGGCTCTGATAGAACCAATAAATTTAATGAATACACAAAATTTAATAATTATATATTGGACTTGTGCAAAAGGAAGCTTACATGGCAGTTGTTGATGTTATTTTGTTTAGTTGATAATTCATAAACTGTTCCATTATGTATTAGCCCTGCAAGATAACTTGATAAGTGTTTCTCACTCTACTTAATCACATACAAAAGGCTATATGCCATTAGACAGAGAAAAGCTCTATTGTGAACCAAGATGATACTTAAGATGCTTCTTATAAATCTTCTTTGCAGATGTTTATCAGCCCAAATTAATGAACAGGTTGAATAATCAAATTCACTCAACTCCTAAATGCAACATACACTTACCCAGCCCAATTGATGATGTCACCCCAAGTGCTATCCACCACAAACCAAATGTTGCGTAGTTTAGGAACTCTTGAACATGCTGCAATCAATAATATCACCATGGTCAAAAACAAATTGAATAAAACGATTATTTGAACAATATCATCTAGTTAGCAAAAATCTCTATATTATTTCAGTTTCTCGACGTCCAAAAAAACAACAATTATTGTTCCATACAGTCATAATCCTTGAGTATCCAAGTGAGTGAACATAATCATAAAAAATATTTAGAAAATTGTTCTTCTAAGAAGCTTATAATAATTTAACAAATACCTTTTCGTTGGAAACATCACCATTCACAAGAAAGAGACCAAGAGCTGTTACCAAGATAGTCAATGCCACAAGCCAATCACCTTTCCTTAAAACATATAGAAGCGTCTGCCTAAGATATTGCAATGTGGCAAACAAGAAAAGCCACATTGTCTTCAAGGGTTGAGTTGTCAATGTTAAGTTCTGCAAATCCCTTTGATGTCTTTTCTTGAGTTCTGCAACAGAAAATTACAAACTTAAGATACAAATTATCTAAGAACATTACTAGATATTTAGAAATAGTTAATAATTTTCAACAAAACAACAGAAAATCATTTTCATCAATATATATGCTATTGTTGTTCCATAATAAAATTTTGCTTTGATGTGGACACATCCTAGCCTGGCAACCATTGCCAAGATTGGCAAGAGTATGTGGCAAAAATAAGATAATTGTCTTAACTTCTAGCATGAGTTCTTTTCCTCACAAAGAACTAAAATCAGGATGATTACTCCTGCCACAATCACATTGATGGTCAATCCAAGATGCTGAATAGAGGGCAGGAGATGTAATTGAGATGTTATGCTGGCAGGAAACCAAAGGCATATTTGCAGTTTCTTCCATAAGCAAAAGTGTCATATCAATATCTTATCTGGTCTATATGTACTAATTGATGTAATACATCTAACCATATCAATAAATAATAATAATTTGTCCAAGATGTCAATCTCGATGACTATAGTCAAAGATGAGACCACTAGTGGTATGGTCCTGGACTTTTATAATATTGTCTTAAAAACCATATCCATGAATATTCAAATGATAATTAAGAGCAACAATGGAACTCGATCACAAGTTATCAGTCAGTCAATCATAAGTTCAATCTTTTTTGTTTCGACTTAAAAGTTGACACTATCAAATTAAAATTCTAATCTAGCATACAGCTAAGCTCCTGGAAATATATAATCAATTCTAAGAATTTGTGTTATCCAGCTTCCAATAACAAAAACTATAATGACCTCCAAAGTAAAAACAATCTTTCTTCTGCATAATGGGAAAAGAGTAAGAGTTAGTTCTTAAATTGGTACATAGATAATTCATAAATGTCTAGCTACTTATCTATCAGATTAAAAACCATATCCATTTACTTAAAAGACCATCAAATTCATGATATAATTCAATTTAAACAATTATATCCAAACATTGTTCAGAGACCACCAATGGAAACTAGAAGTAGTATTTTGTGGATAAGATTCATGAGAACTGCAGATCCGTATTTTTAGTCCAAATTAGTCTTACAGAAAAGGAAAATGTGCCCTCGATGTTGCATGAAACAATAGGATAGATCCATGAGGACTAATTAATGCAGGATTGACAATGAATTAGGTCTCTTACCAACCTGCCCAACTTTCCAAACATCTCTCAAAAATTCAACAAGTTGAGTTTCACATGTTATGTTTAGCCTTTTAATCAAATCAAATGTCAAATGATTCCCTTCTATCCATCAGCAAAAAGACAATGCTGCTAATGTAAATAAAAATCTTTAACCATCTCAATGAAATTTCTTGCCCATTCCACAAGGATGAAATATCTATACACAGTGCCAACAGTGTTAGCACTTGGCTGACGACGATGATATCATTCAAAATGAAAGAAAGGGATAAAAAAAAAAATCGAAGCATCGCCGATTCTAAATCAATACAAATTCACCACCCCCAAACAAAACCCTTCGCCAAAACAGCAACTTTAAGCCATTGCGAAACTGTAAAAGACAAGTGAATTTGGTTACACAAATGCTTACCTTCGATCAACAGGCCTAAATCTTCGCCCGCTGTCGCCTGCTTGGAACCCATCTCCGTCGAACCCTAAGGAACAAATCTGGGACGCCAAAACACGCGGGCACGCAGCGGGAATCCAATAGGGCCCGAGGGTTGCGAAAATTAGGATCGCAACTCGCAAGGGGCAAAGACACAGGCAAACCAAAGGCAAAGTTAAAAGAGATTGTTGGCGCATCAATTGTGTCACAACGGATGCGACAAAAAAAGGACTCGTTTCTTTCTCGGCTACGCGGAGATCCAAAGTATATAAATATAGATAAATAAATACGTATATATATTATTTTATATTTATATTCGAAAAACAAATCGTTTTAAAAATTCCTTAAGAACTTTCGAACCTTAATTTCTCGAAATGACAAAATAATCCTTTAATAATATTTAATTTTTTTTCTTTAAAAGTTGGATCGTTTCTTTATCTCTTTTAATGAACCATGAACCGATTCAATTAACCTAAAACTTAGATTGATTTTAAATAAAATTATATTCGATAATTTACTGATATATATCAATTTATATTATTAAAAATATATTAAATTATAAAAAATTCAAATTATAAATTTAAAACTAATTTTTAACTATAAAGTAAAGAGTAATATAATAACAATATTTG